AAAAGCGGCAGTAAGAGTGACATGAAATTCTGTTGTCACATTTCAATCCTACTTCTTCTCCCTGAGTCTTCTTTTACTGACAGACTTGCCTCCCCACACTTAGAAGTGGCAAAATTAATTTTTGTCTTATGTTCCTGAGAGGTCTCGAGCTGCTTCCCAAACCAGTTATGTTGGCAGAACAGAAAGAATGATAGTTCTTTTAGCATCAAATTGACAATATCTTTTGAGAAGTACATCTGGTCTTAATTAAAGACTTCAATTACAGCTAATCCATCATAAACTTTGAAAAACTCTTCCAGTCTTAATTACAAACACTGTTAATAATGTAAAACTCATATATCATTAAAGTTCAAGCTTCAGGTTTCAGCTATCTGATCATTTCATTCCTCTTGCTATTAATATATAAACCCTCCAGTGTGACCTCTCTGTGTAGGGATCTATAGACTGATTAACTTGCATCCTAACTTTATCCTCCAAAATTTAAATAAGAGTCTTCTCTTTAACATGGGTCAGCTAAGAACCATCCACTACCCTGAAGTAATATTCAAGCTAATTTTTGATGTATCATCTTAGATCCCAGGAGGAACAGGTTCATTAATAGAGCATGTTATCTATTCCAGTTAGCTAGGCTTGTTACAACTGGTTTGGGTACCTATGTGCAGGGGTGCACAGTGTTATGTAGACATAATCAATCTCTCTGGCAGCATTTACAAGTTAAATAAAAAATAAAAATAACAAAGCTACTCAGAATAGCAGATAGAAAAGATATATTAAAAGAAACCTACAGGCCAATACACATTACCAGGGAAAATGGCCATAAAAGTGGAAATTTCCCAAAATTTAGTCTTTGAATAATCTGGGTGAAATCCAAATTAATTTAATGCAAAATTAATCTGTGTTGTGGGAGTCACTGTGCTGTGTATAATCCTGCCTAAATCACTGGTATATGTACATTGTCATGATGTTAATATTTCTGCACCACTTTCCTGATATGACTCAAAGAAGCCCAGTGTAAAACAAATGTTAGAATTGACTGGTAACTCTAAGAACTTGTGAATGTAATTTTTACAATAATATAGAAAAGTATTTGCAACAATGAGCTCTTACTTCAAAGATTTGATAGTCTATATTTTCAACATTTTTTACATGCCTGACACTCAAATTTTTCAGGTTCCCTTGGATGATTAAAAATATTCAGCATTCTAGACCTCTCCTCCTACTGAGCAAAACATCAGAATTAAGAGTGGAAGGATTCAATCAAGTTACAAAATTGTTTACCTTAAAGTAATCTCCGAAGATGTGTTCTTTACTACTGCCTGCCTTCAGATATATTATTGCCTATGCCAGGTGAACTAAACTGAGGGAGAAATTCTAGCTGAAAACTAACAGCTATTTTGCCAGGTAAGATTTTAGCAAAACCAGACCCTTTACCTGGTTCATCACAGCTGTCTAATCCTTGGAAAAGGGAGAGATGGGACTAGTCAACCAGATACAACAAGAGTGGCAGATCACCTCATCAGTGCTAAAATTCTTGTAGAAACACACTTTTCCATTATGTAGTGCTTCATAGTCATGTTATTAAATCTCATAGGACTGTCCAAATTAATATATCCCACTGAGGTGGATGAATATGGCCTTTACTGACATAAAATCACTTAAGAAATTTAAGCAGAATGGGTTAAGTATAATTTGAATTCAGGATGCTGTGCTGCAAACCAAGATATCCCATTTAACCTGAAACTTTGCCTGTTTCCCTGTGATAATGACTGAACTAATACATGATACTTTGTCTGACATTCCTTATAATATACTACGCTTTGTTCAAGTAAATACAATGTTTGAATCCTCTGTGACGTAAATCATCTTAATATCTGTCTTAAATATTGTTTAAGTTACAAAAAGCAAACTCAGGAGACAATATTAATCACTGCTGCCAACCTGAGCATACCCATATGGGTTGTAATCTGTAGCTTTCCTGTTTTCTAATGCTTCTAAAGCTGCTAAATATAAGCCTGTACATTAGTATAATGAATAGACCTACAAAAAATATGCTTAGTTAAGATTTGTAGTTGTACCTTTTCACTATAATGTATAATTTAGCATCTCCTTAATCATATAATTTGGAGATGATGTAAATCATAAGAGTTTTTGTTTTCAGTCTTATGATTTAATTGCTGCCTCTGTAGGTTCTGCTTGTCCAGTAAGAGCATTTTTCATATATAATCCTCATGGGATGGACAATATATTTAAAAATATCTTTGGGCTAATTCTAATTTATGGTTGCTAGCAGGTAAGTAAGAATGCTGTATTAATAACTGCTGGTGAAAGAACCCCTGTGATGGGGTACTGGGATTCAGGCCCAAATACAGAGCTTATGTAGTCAGTAGGATGGCATGCAGTTCATCAGTGGGGTTTATATCAGCATTGCAAAACCGTAGCTGAGATATCTCTGCTGAAATGAATGAAAAAAGTGGGATTTGTTACCAATATTTGTTACTTTGATACCAAAATCAAAAGAGCAGTAGGCCTCCATGCATTGATTCTTCACGTGTGACCTCTACCTGCATTCCAAGGGTAGAACACTATTTATTGCAGCATTACATATACTTTATCTATCTCAGAAAATTCTAATGTCAAGTTTTTCTCTGGCCCAAGTTGTAGCATATATTTGATCATTCATATGTCTGGTGAATGTACCACAGTGAGGTTCAAAACTTAATGCCTGGAAAATTTGGTGTTGAGTTTTTGTGTTAGTTTGTTTTTCTGGGATTTCTTTGGAAGTGGAGAGTTAAATGTCAAGAATTTCATAGATCATCAAGACATTAGGTCAAAGTGAAAAGGTGATTCTTTCCTCTTGCACTCTTTTGGGTTTTGTCTTATGGTGAAACATTTGCTTCGACATAGATGTGCACAGATGTTATTCCAATGAATTTTATACTTTAAAAATTTGGCTTTGTGTTGTTCTGATCAACTGCTGAGAACCTTCTTGAGATCCCACCACAGTACACAGCATCATCCCTGATGCTTTTAAACCACTTCCACTGAAGATTTTTTGATTAAAATGCTAACAAAGTACAAATAGTCCAATTTGCTTCATATGTGGCATCTGAGGTAGTCACAAATGGATTTAAAATTACCCCTGTATGCAGCTGACATTTTTAAGGGGCAGCTTAGCATCTACTTAAGCTGGCCTAAAACTGTGCTGCCCCATTGAGTCTGCAGTGCCAATTCTGCAGCAAGGAGACTGCCTACTGCTTGGACACAAAGGAGCTGGCAGGAGCACACAGCTGGGACAGAGAAGTGCAGCACCACAGCTTTTGGCAGTTGCTCCATCCTCCTTCTCTCCACCGGCAGTGACACCAGGCACTATTCAGCCTCTTCACTCACAGTGATGGAGAGCTGCACTAACAAGAGCCTTGGCAATATGGAAAAACATGTCACATGCTCTTTATACTTTGTGCAGTGTGGTAAATGTGTTGATTTTCAGTTTTAATAAAACCAGGATACCCTTGCCTATTTTTTTTTGTGTTTTGTTGTTGCTGCTTTTAGCTAGTTACCATTCCTAAATGAAAAAAAAAAAAATCTTAAATAAAATAGTAATATATTACAAAAATAAAGTGTCACCACATGCTCTTTCCTGTGTACTCTACTCTCCAATTCCCCTGGAATCACTTGATCCCTAAAAGACAGAAACTTTGATACCAACTATTTATATACTTTATTTTTCATGCCCTTTATTTGTCACATGTTCATCAGTAACATCAGATTTTTCCCTCCAAAACTAGTGGTCTCACAATGTGGAATTTGTTCCTGTCAGGTGGGGTTATACAAAGAGGAAATTAACCTTGCAAAATAAACTGTCATAGCAAGAGACACAATTTGGAGGAACATTCCTTTCTCTGAGAATGTGATATACACTTTGTTCCAGTACCTGTTTATTTTAGAATATGTGACCTATTCTTGGGTGGCTGAGGTTCTAACTTTTTCCTCTAATACAATTAATTTCTGTATGCAGGTTTCTTTGTGTGAGTACATTATTGAACGGTAACATGATTTCACAGGACACCCCTTGTTTGAAACAAAAAGATCCTGTTTGCTGAAACAGACAAGAGATTAGGTCATTTTAGAGTTGACAGATTGTGGTTAGTGTCCTAATTAACAAGCCCTGCCAATATGGAAAAATTTCTGAGTGGTCAAGAACTCTCACCCAAACTTGTGATGCCTCTGAAATAAAACTTCTACTTTAAACGTAGGAATTTAAGTACTTGAGGAGTTAGAAGTTTAAAGAGTTCACCAGCACTAGAACCTCATCTCAGTCCAGATCCTCCCTAAATACCTGTCTCTCTTTGTGAGTGTTGATTAATGTCTTATATTCGGCAGCAACACCTTATTCATGTATGAAATTTTGAATTATTATTCTATTTGACACTGGCAAGTATTTTGTTGCAGCTCAACTGACTATTCTACTCTTCACTTCCATCTGTTAGCACTCGGCCTATACTCAAGGAAAATAACACTATTAGCATTTTCAAGATCATTCAGATGGCTGATCTTGGTATCAGTGCAGAATGCTATCTCTGAAGCAATACACCACCACGTATCACCAACAATGACTCACAATTTCTTACACTAAGAAATTGATATGACAGTGAGGTCACTTTTCCGTGACTCAAAACTTATTTCTCTGTTAAAGTATCTTTTTCTTGCTGATAGCCCATAAGCCTTGCTTTTCAGCCATTCATAGTTATGAAGAATATTTGAAAATGTAATAATATAGTACAATTTGTTTCCAGATGTTGAGCGTCTCTACAAATAAAAATGTAAATGGTAACTTTTCGTAGTTACTTTCACAATTAACAATTGTTCTGAAAGTGACCCTGATTTTAGTGACCACTCTTTAAACAGCATTATGCAATCAGGTAAGGTAGAATGGCAATATAATTCAGACTCGTTTTGAGCAAAAGAATTGGTTACAAACCAGAGTTACTATTTCTAATTACCTTAATCCAGCTCCTTTGAAGTTTGCTTCACTTAACCGTTTCCTTGATACCAGTTGTATCCAAATTTTCAGTTTTGTTCTTGAGTTGTAGTACAGTTACTATGTGTTTCTGCTGATTATAGAAAACTACCAACAGAAAAAAAAAAAATTAAAAATTAACACTAGTTTTACCACTATTGTTTTTCTGGTTTTGGTATGAGCATGGTTTATGTTCTTTTGTTTTGGTCTGAGCTTGGTTTATGGATTTGTTTGTTTGTTTTTGGTTCTTTTTATTAGTTGTATTCAAAGCAAAGTAACTTGAAAACAGCAAACTAAGTAGCCTAAACTGTTTGAAATCATACATGGTTAAAGACACTACTGCTTTGCAATTTACTTAGCAAAAAAATGATTCTGAACTATTTTGCCAGTGCATCTTTGTTAATGTGAAAAAAGCTGCTATGGGAGAAGTGAAACACCATACAAATGCCTTCATTGCCTTATAAATAAAATTTTTTTCTAAATGGTTCCATTTGTGAATATATGGGGCCAGCCAGTAAATCATGTTCATGTTTCTCCACAAATATCACACTGCAATTGAACACTGTATATGTAATGATCTCAGCACAGGTCCCAGGGAGTGAGAAAAGCTCTTGGGAGAGCTTTACTTTTGCTTTTAACCTAACATAAGTCCTACACATACTCTGCTCATTCTGAATTGCCCAACAATTTATGGGAAAAGTCATTCTCTGAGACTTTAATATGTTCAAAATGGGCCAGCCTTGGGAAAAAAATGTAATGGGTTCAATGAGAATAGAAGGAAAGACTTGGGAGGTTTTCATTTGTAGTGTATTCCACTCAGTTTCTACAGACTTAAAGGGGAATGTGGCCTCTATTGTTGCTTTACATTTCCTTTTCCTATCCTCCTGGAATACCTTCCCTGGCAGCATAAAAAGGCACAACTGTAAAAGATTCAAGGTCAGGGAATTATGTGCTGATCTTTGTTCATTATGCAAATTTCTTCTGATTGGGTGATCCAGGCAATAATCAGTATTTTTCCCTTTTAAGCCAAGTCTATAGGGCACATCTAAGAGATCAGGATGGTTCCAGGCACAGTTCATCACTAATGTAAATGTGCATAATTTAATAATTTAATCCTTCGAAGGTGCACTCTGTAGCACAAAGAAACAGAATCAGTATCCATAATGCATGGCTTTTATACATTCATATATTCATTTCAAGGTAGTTAAACATTAAGTAGCTTAAGCAATATTTAAATATGCAACTGCATTTTCTAGGTATGGGGGCAAATAAAAAATAGAATATAGACTATGCTTTGGAAAAAGTTACGCTTATTGAGATTATTAAAACCCACATCCTTTGAAGTACTATAAACACAGTGAGTGGTAACACACCCAAAATCTCACACCCTTTTATTTCCTGCACTCTAGTACTGAAGGACATCTTGTTCACAAACATCAGGTCACAAAATCAGGCTCTGAATGGCATCACCGCCAACCCAAACTGATTCAAACCCTGAGTGAATCAGGTTTAGAGAACCTCCTGGATTTTGTGGGCAGACCACAGCACCAGGGGGACAGGCCAGTATTTGCTGCTGGCCCTTGAGTGCACCACTAACCGTGACCGAGATGAGCAGCAGAGGATTTTACTCCTCATGACGCCTTTGTATTTTACTTCACAAGCCTTCAGCTAAAGCTGAATGAGAACCATTTTAAAGCATGGCATAAAACGAAGTGCCAGGGCAGGAACGCAGTTATAAAGAAGTGTGACAGCTACGAACAAAAGCGGATGCTGCGCATCCCCGTGGTCCCCGAGACACGGGCACTGCCAGGTGGTTATTCCTCTCTCACAAAGTTGTCACCCACAGGAGCGGCGCCTCCTGACGCCCAGCCCAGCCCAGCCCAGCCCTGCCGAGCCC